TTTGCAAGAGAAATGATTAAATTCCCTCTGCCTTGAGGAATAACAATTAGTCAACCAAATACGAAGTTCTGTTCTCGGTGGACACATGCCACAGCATTAGAACACAGGTAACTTCATTTTCAGAGAATTAAAGTAAGTGATGTGGCTGTCCTCACCGGGGCCCCTTGGAGAGGAGGAGGTTGAGCTTTCCTCCCCGCCCCGACCAGAGCTCCAGCAGCCAAAGACCTCCAGGACCACCACCATGCTGAGACCACTCTCCGCACACATGAAGGTACTGGCAGAGGGACAAAGTCACGCGGGTTCCGGGGCCGAGATCTCCAAGCCTACTCGGATTTGGGCCGAGCATCCTCCACCCAGATCCTCCCAATTCCAGTAGGCTGGGGTCACACCCACCAACTGGCCCCCTGGCGCCGTGTAATCCCATCAACGGCCAAGACTCAGAGACTATAAAAACCAGCTCCCAGAACCGCGGGACCGCATTCGCGACTGCGCGACATCTTATTATCTCATTCCTACTTAGGACAAACTGGCAGGCTACCAAATGTAGCCTGCCACATGGCAGAGTCTGGCAAACTCCCCGTGGCGTATCCAATATGCCAAATACCAGTAACAATGATGGATCTCATTCTCCTAAAGAGCCTTGACTATAATCTCAGGGCTAGGATGAAGGAGACGTTACTGGGGCCTGCTTGAGGCAATCGACGAATAACAGGATGATTTGTGATTTGTGAAAGTGATATGCACCGCTGAGCTTTCCGTGGACTTCAACCCACGTGGAACTCAAAAGATTTTATCACTGCTTCCCTGGACCCTTGAGCATCCACTGTGACCTGCAGAAGGAACCAAAGGTCTCAAGGTCAAATACTAAAATTTTTCAGATATTCACAGACACTGTTTAGGTGCATGAATTACTGAATCATGTGGAAATTCTGCTCCAACTACAATCTGCAGGATTGGGACCTGACTTCAGAGGTTTTTCACATTTAAAGGTGAAAAGTTTCGGTTGCTGAGAAAATTATCATAGGACCAGAACGATACTACAATGGGTAGGGCATTTGTTCTGCACGTGGCAGACCAGGGTTCAATCCATCACATCCCATATGGTCCCCTGAGCATGGCCAGGTGTGGCCCCAAAACAAAAGTAAATAAACAAATCAAATTAATAAGCATTTTAAAATACAGTAAGAATAATAATGATATCCTGTCAAAAAGTGGGGAGACAATTCAATCAGCTTAATCAGTGGCTAACTAATTAGTAGTACTCCTACATTTAAAAAAACAATGGGGCGGGGCTGGAGAGACAGCACAGCAGGTAGGGCGTTTGCCTTGCACGCAGCCGACCCAGGTTCGAGTCCCAGCATCCCATATGGTCCCCTGAGCACCACCAGGAGTAACTCCTGAGTGCAGAGCCAGGAGTAACCCCTGTGCATCACCAGGCGTGACCCAAAAAGCAAAAATAAATAAATAAATAAATAAATATGGGGAGGGAAGATAAATACATCACCAGAGAAGACATATGGATGGCCAGTAGACATGAAAAGATGTTCACTGTAACTGATTATGTGGGAAACACAAATCAAAACAATACAAAGATTGTCTCCCACCAGTGAGAATGGCTTATGTCAAAAAGACTGGAGCTAGTCAGTGTTGGCGGGGATTTGGTGGAAAAGGAAACTTCACTGTTGGTGGGAACGTCTGGGTCAGTCTCTATGTAAATTCTATGGAGATTGCTCCAAAAAGTAAGACTAGAGCATCCCTAAGACATATTCCACTTTTGACACCTGCTCACCCCCAAGCACAAAAATATTCATTCAAAACAATATGTGCATGCCTATATTCATCACAGAGCTTAGTACACTTGCCAAGATATGGAAAAAACCCCAATGTCCAGTGACAGATGGGTGGATAAAGAAGGCATAGAGACACAATGGAGTACTATACAGCTAGAAGAGAAGATGACATTGTATAGCCTGCTGCAACATGGGTGGAACATTAAGGTATCACATTGAGTGAAATCATTCTATGGTGGTGGACCCACCATGTTTCAAAGAGCATCTTCCTGTATTTGCCCATCTGTGTTTTCTCTGAATCAGCTAGGACTTCATCTTCGCGTTCAGTGTCAACTTAGTGAAATCTTACATTGATTTTCTATTAGGCTGCTATCACTCATTGCTACCACAAGTGGAGTGGTTTGGCAGCACAAATTGATGTCTCTCTATCCTGGAGTTCACATGACCCAAAGGGGAGCTAGAGAAATTCGACAGCTGATAGGGCGTTTGCCTTATAGGCTGCAGGCCTGGGTTTGATTCTTGGCATCGCATAGGGTCCCACAAGTCCACTAGGAGTGATCCCTGAGTGCAGAGCCAGAAGTAATCCCTGAGCACCACTGGGCGTGGTCCCAAAACAAAAACAAACAAAAAGCAAACAAATAAAAAGATCAAAACAGAGCTGGAGCAATAGCACAGCAATAGCACAGCAGCACATGGCCAACCCAGGTTCAATTCCCAGCATCCCATATGGACCCCCGAGCACTGCCAGGAGTAGTTCTTGAGTGCATGAGCCAGGAGTAACCCCTGAGCATCGCCGGGTGTGACCCAAAAAGAAAAAAAAGATACCCAAACAAATGGGTCAGTGGGGGCTAGAGGCATTCAGAGGCAATCCATTTCCTGTCTTTTTCAGCTTCTGGGAGCTGTGTTCCTTGGCTTGTGATCCTTCCGTATCACTGGGATCTTCCTTGCCTTGTCACATCTCCTCCTCTTTCTATGTCCTTTTGGTGTCTCTCTTTCCCTTTTGATTGCATTGTGCTTGCATTGAGCCCAACTCAATAATCCAAGATGATTCCATCATCTCAAATTAAATGTCTTTGTTTTCTGTATTTGGGCCACTCCCAGTGGTGCTCAGGACTTACTCCTGGCTCTGCGCTCAAGGACCTCCTGGTGGACTCAAGGGACTGTAGGATGTGTTGGGGATTGACCCCAGGCGGACCTCGTGCAAGGCAAGCATCCTACCTGCTGTACTATTGCTCTGGACCCTTGAAGTCCTTAATTTGATCTCATTTACAAGGTCTCATAGGCCTCATAAGGTAACATATTCACACACCTCCAGGGATTAAGACAGGGTCATTGTGACAGTGGTGGCCAGCAATTATTCTGCCTAGCACACGCTGGGAATTATCTTGAATGTCTGTCTTACTCATTTCCCTGTGGACATCCTAAATATGTGCAGTGTTACTATGTGCCATGTCCTGAACCAACTCAAAGAAGAACAGTAACTAGCCTGGTGATGGTGCCCAAGTTACATAACTTCCCCCAAGCCTCACCACACAGTTCTCCTTTGCAGAGCTGAAGAGATGAAAATCTCTCTCCTAGGAAATGTTGTAGCAAGAGCGTCTGCAGTCATTTCTTCCCATTTAATCTGAATTCCAACATGCATCTGTAAAAAATGTAAGCAAAAGCCCTGGGTTCAGCAGTGGTGGTGGGGTAGAGACATGAACCTCTTAAAACTGCCGGCATGAATGTAAATCTGCAGCGTCCTGGAGGACACAGATGGCACTCTGGAGGTCATGAAGAGCCTTTGCAAAGTTTGTTCTCTTTATTCCAGTAATCATCCATTTCTGAAGTGCTTCTTAGGGGCAAGGTAGAATTTATGGACAAAGAGTTCCTGTAGGGTGTGCTTTATCACACTGGAGGGGAAGGTGGAGGTGAGCCTTCATTCCCCCACAGCAAGAGGATTTGGTCAAAAGGACCTGAAAGGCCGTGCTCAGGGTTTGACAAAAAAAAGTAGTGACAAATTGAAGGGTCAGGGAGGAGTTCAGTCAATGGACTGTACAGTGAGAGCTGTTGATAGAAAAATAAGGGTGGGGAAAGGCTTAAAATATGGGTTTCATGGTGTCCATAGTGGGTACATTGAGGCAACGGAATAACGGGATTCTGATGTGCTACTTTTATTTTCCATCTTATAACAGTGAAAGGTGGGGAAAGGGGATTCAAGTCCGACTTTCCTTGAGTTTGGATTCTAGCCTTTCTGCGTGGAGAACAAACACAATCGAAGGTGTCCCTCTACTGGACATGGGACGAGGCCGCTGCGGGCCACGCCAGCTTGCCACTGGGTTAGACACAGTTTACAGTGCTGCAGATCTTTCGAGAAAAAAAAAACTGGAGTCGGAAGTTACTATATTGCTTATTCAAAGGGAGACGGACTGGGGGTCCGTGAGGGGCTGGGCAGGCTGGAGAGGTGATGTGCCGGAAGAAGGCCGGGTTCAACTCCCAGCACTGCAGATGATGGACCCGCTCAGGGTGGATTTGGGAGTATGTGACCCCCCCAAACCAATAAATAATAAATTGGTGGAGGGGGCTCACTGTGGGAACCCGGTGCTGGTAATTCCAGACTCACTGGCCAAGGCACTTTTTTTCGCCTGTTAAGTCGGTCTCCCCTCTAAGCGCCTTGCTCGACTGTCCAGAGCGGAGGGGACCCAGGTTCAGCGGTGGACGCTGCGCTGGCGGGGATACCCGCGGGACTGCACCTGCCCGGGTCTCCGTCGGCCCGGGTTCGGATCGCTCCAACTCCGGCCGACACGCGCGTCCCCGGAATCGGCTCCCTGCGACCGGCTTGGGGCGCTGCTCGGCTTGGACTCGGCTCCTCTTCGGCAACGTTCGGTCAACGCTCGCTTTCTCGGGCTCGGCTCTCTTCGGTTTCTTTCGGGTGACGTTCGACATGGGCTCGGCTCTCCTCGGGTGACGTTCGACACGGCTTCGCCTCGCTTAGGCTTCCTTCGGACGACGTTTGACACGGGCTCGGCTCTCTTCGGCTTCTTTCGATAACGTTCGACTCGGTCTCGGCTCTCTTCGGGTGCCGGTCAACACGGGCTCGGCTCTCTTCGGCACCGCTCCCTCAGCGCCCGTTCACCCCCCCTCGGTTGTCTCCGGCTTCCTTCGGGCGGAGCTCGGCCCCCGCTCGGTTGTCTCCGGCTTCCTTCGGGCGGAGCTCGGCCCCCGCTCGGTTGTCTCCGGCTTCTTTCGGGCGGAGCTCGGCTCGGGCTCGGCTCTCTTCGGCCGCGCTCGGCCGCGGCCCCGGAAGCGCTCCCATGGAGCCGGGACGGCCGGCTTCCCGCCTGGCCATGGCCCCGCTGCTGGAGTACGAGCGGCAGCTGGTGCTGGAGCTGCTGGAGGCCGACGGGCTGGTGGTGTGCGCCCGCGGGCTCGGCGCGGACCGGCTTCTCTACCACTTCCTCCGGCTGCACAGCCACCCGGCGTGCCTGGTGCTGGTGCTCAACACGCAGCCGGCCGAGGAGGTGCGGAGAGCGGGGCGGGCACGGGGGACCCCGCGTGGGTGCAGTTCCTGGAGCCGAGCGAGGCCTCGGAGGAACCACGCAGGAACCACCCACGGGGCGACGGGGGATTTGAACGGGGTCCCAAGGGCAAAAGCGGGGGCCCAGGGGCCCGGGAGGACACCAAAAGGGTGGGAGGGGACCCCCGCGGGAGGGCGGGCGGGCTTCAGAGAGGACAAGGGGAATTCTTTGGAGAAGGAAGGGCTGGGGGGACCCCCGGAGCAATGGGGAGACGTCCTGTTGAGCCAGGAGAGGACCCCGAATCTGGGGTTAATGGGGACTCGCAGATGATGTGGGGGGAAACCCCTAAAAGGGAAAAAGGGGGGAATGGAGGTTAATAGGATGATGTGAAGGGGGAACCCCGCTGAGAGGAGGGGGTCCCCCAAGCGGAGGGCATCCTCCTCTGGGAGGAGGAGCAAAAGTTGAAGATGTTAGGGCGGCCCGGGTTAGGGAGGGGAGCCCCCCTTACTGAGAGTGGTCAGCGCTGCTGGAATGTCAGCTGAGAAGTGTGACCCGGAACTCCTAGGTCAGACACCCTAAGTCAGCTATTGTCGAAGGGACCCAACCCCCAGTAAAATAGCATTAAAATGAGGGTGCACAGGGTCTAGGGGCCCCTGGCATGAAGTCCCTGTTGGGGTGAACCGGGCGAGACTCGGGGTCCGCGCTGCATGGAAACAGCCCGGTGTCAGTCTGCTCACGTCCTAGATGCCCTGCAAACCTGGCTTTGGCAGGAATTGTTTTCCAGGTTTACAGTATGATTCAGACTTGGCATTTAAAACTTTTTATGTGACTGTTAAAACATACCAGAGAGATAGTACAGGGGTTAAGAGGTTTGCTGACTCGGGTTCCATCCCTGGCTCCATATTGGGTCCCTCAAGCACTGTCAGGAGTCAGCCCTGGGCAGGGGGCCAGGAGTAAGCCCTGAGCACAGCCCAGAACAAGCCAATGAACATACAGATATTCATGATAATGTGAGGGTAGTGATACCTCCTTGTAAACATCTAAACCAACTAGCAGTGCCGTGAAGTGTAGCCTGATGAGTGTGTTGATCAATATAAAGTAGAAATTATTAAGTGGGACTTCTTCATTAAGTTTACTATCTCTGATGAACTGTCATTACATGCAGCCGAACCAGACTTGATCCCCAGAATCCTCTATGATCTCCGTGCCTTCCAGGAGTAATTCTGACTGCAGAGCCAGGAGTAAGCCCTGAACATCTCCAGTGTAACCCAAAATAAAATAAAATAGAAATATTTTTTTAAGTTCACTATCTGAGAAATATGGCACGTTATTTAAGTTCAAAGACCAGCTATTAAAAGTTGCCGGGCAGATCTGAGTGTTGGGGTAAAATCCCAAATAATAATGGTGGGTCTGGTGTTGAAATATTGACTGTAATCAAAGTAGAGAGAGTAATGTGGAAATCATCTGTCCCACAGGTAGAGGAAGGGTGTGGGATGGGGGGAGGGTGGTATACTGGGGCTTTGGGTGTGGGAAATGGGTACTGGTGAAGGGACAGGTGTTTCATCATTGTATTACGGAGACATAAACCCAAAAGCTTTGTAACTGCTCTCACGGTGATTCAATAAATAAATTTATAAAAAAGAAAAAAGAAGTAAGGTGGAGTTCATGCATGCCCAATTCAAAATTCAATCCGCCTAATCAATGGCTGAATAAATAGCAATACTCCTACATTAAAATTTAAGAAAAAAATTGCCTAGGCTTCAAAGGGAGTGGAGAGAGAGCGAAAGAGAGAGGTCCCAGTCCCTACCATAGCGGCAGGCAGGCTTGGGAGGTGGGGGAGGTGTTTGGTGGTGGGAGGGAAACTGGGGACGCTGGTGCTGGGAAATACACACTGGTAGAGGAACAGGTGTGGAACAGTGTATGACTAAAACCCAATCATGGACAGCTTTGTAATGCTCTATCTCGCGGTAATTCAATAAAAGATTGTTATGATTTTAAAATGATAATAACAGCGGTAATAAAATTGCCTGGGCTTAAAGTGACTGCTAATCGAGTTTGCTTTGCTTTAGGAGCATTTTATCAACCAGCTGAAGCTGGATGGCGTCAACCACCTCCCCCGCCGTGTGACCAATGAAATTGCTAGTAACAGTCGCTACGAGGTGTACACGCAGGGCGGGGTGATCTTTGCCACCAGCCGGATCCTCGTGGTTGATTTCTTGACGGACAGGATACCTTCCGATTTAATTACTGGTGAGGAATAACAACATCCTCCTCTGGGTATATAAATGTGCGTGTTTGGGGGTCCAAGCCATAGGCAGGGGTTTAAGGCACTCGCTTTATTCACAACCCAGATGGGCCCCTAAGTCCAGCCTGGAGCAAGCCCTGGACCAGGAGTAAGCCCTGAGCACTGCTGAGGGCGGCCCCAAAGTCACACAAATAAAAATGTGCTTTGGGGGAGCCTCAGCTTGGGCTTTCTGGTGCCACAGGCCTCTCTCTGACCCTGGCAGTTTCATCACTGCACTCCTGTCCTGATACAAACTCAGGGGATGTGGCGTGACCACAGCCTTAAAGACACGTGACCTTATGTGACCCACTTTGGTTGCTCCCTGCCCTTGCAGGGCCTGAGTAAGCTTCTCGAAGGCTGGCTTTCCCGACCTGCTCAGTCCCTTCTGCGGGCTTTCAGAACTCAGTGAGGCTTACAGTGTGTCTGTCTGGGTATGTTTCCTGAAATTCTGTTCTCCCCTGTGGAGTTTTCACCAACCCCCTCCCTAACAGTTTCAGATTCAAACAAGGCTCAAAGTGACTGCTCCGTACGGTGGCTTGCTTTTCACTAGAATCACTAGCAGTGGTTTTTCGTCATAATCTGGCCTTTCGGAAACCTTTTCTCGAAGCCTTTTCTGACACCCCCCAGCATCCGTTTCGGGCCTCTGCCTGCACCCTGGTGTCACCCCATGCTGCTCCCCAGCTGCCTCAGCCAGAATCTCACTTCCAGGCTGGAGACCCCCAGCACAAGCCTCGCATTGAGGATGACCTGGGCTCGAAGCCCCAAAGCCCTCCAGGAGTGATCCCTGAGCACAGAGCCAGGAGTCACCCCCGAGTACAGCCGCATGTAACCCCAGAAACCGAAGCAAAACAGAATCCTGCTTCTACTAGTCTGTTTATGTCTCTGCCTCCCTCCTCCATGAAGTTGCTCTAAACCTAGGCCAAACCCAGCAGCCCTGTTGGAGGAACAAGGTATCAGCGTCCCTAATAAGCTTCCAGAGGTTAGATGTGGTGAGATTCCCAGTTGGACCCTCCTCTCTGTCTGCCACACTGTCCCAAGCCTTGGAGACCCTGGAGATTTCTCTGGAAGGTTCTCGGGGAGCCCAGGGAGGCTCCGTTCTGCCTTCCTGATCACAGTGGTCACTTGGTGGCAGCAGTGGCCTGGGCCTTGAGTGACCAGATGCTGCTCTCAGTGCTATACTTCTCAGTGGCCTGTTTTTCAAACCTTGGTGTGTTGTTTTTTTTCTAGAGAGTCTTTTTTTTGTTTTTTTGTTTGTTTGTTTTATAAAGTTGTTCACAATAACTCATTACATTTAATATTCAAATGCCAATGCCACCACTGTGCACCTTCCCACCACCACAAGAGGAAAGTGTGTGGAGATTGTTGTATTTCATCCTGGGGCTATTTAAGCTCTTGTCTTAGGGATTCCAAGCATGTATGTTAAACCCAGACAAAGGTGTGCTACTTTTGGTACATCAGTGGGCTCGATTATGAGAGGTTGCTCCAGGAATTCTGAAATTTAGAATATGATTATAGAGCAGATTCACTCATGGGTAAGGCCTTATGTTGCTCTCATGTTGGCCGTTGTTGAGATTATATGGTGCCGGGGCAGTTTGTAGGTATGACTGCGAAGCTACTGGAAAACTGGGGAGCCGGTGGGGAGGAGGCCCAATTCCCACTCCGAGTGAGCTTGGAGGTCTCAGTCACGGGTTCCGCATACCTGGATTTTTCTGCAGGCCCTAGGAAAGTCCTTTCTTACCCTTTACCTTTCCTGCATTTATCTAAACACTCACAGTAGGTCCACATGTTACATCTCTTCTGTAACAGGACTCACTGCCGCCACGCCCCCACTCGGCACCCTGCTTTGGGGGCCACACTCAGCCGTGCTCGGGCTCTTTGGGGTGCCAAGGATGCAGCCAGGGTCAGGTGCTTGCACTTGCTCTCTTCTCTCTCCCTTGTTCCCGCTCTATCTCTTGCTTGTCTGTCTTGCTCTTTCTTGCTCTCTCTCTCTCTCTCTCTCTCTCCTCCCTCTCCTCTCTCCTCTTTTTCAGTTTCATTTTGGTCTCTTTGTTTCTGCACCCTTCTTTTATTGTGTCTTTCAAACCTAGTCACCACGAGAAGATTGGGCTACTCGGGCCTTCGCGCAAGGTGCAGGAGGAGACATTTCTCAGCAACCATTCTGGTGCTGCAAATTACAGCTGGGCTCGCTTTGTCCCTCTCTATTCTCGTATTTACCCTTGTCTTTTACCTTTTGGGGTTGGAGGGGCTGGGGCCAGAGAGGATGTCTGCAGCCAGCAGTCTGTAGGGCGGAGTTCATGTACAAACAAGCAGTTCCTGACAGCACTGCTAGGGGTCAGGGCGGCCCCATGCATGCTGGTAACTGCTCAGTGCCACCCGGCAGTGCTGGAAACATCTGCTCCCCTGCTGCCCTTCTTGGATCCTGGGAGGTGGCACCGTAGCACGGTCCTCCCGTTGTTCATCGATTTGCTCGAGCGGGCACCAGTAACGTCTCCATTGAGAGACTTGTTACTGTTTTTGGCATATTGAATACGCCATGGGGGCTTGCCAGTCCCCAGGTGGAAACGCCCAAGTCTACTGGGTTTCACCGTCCTGGCCACCAGCGACCCTGCTGCTGGACTGAGCACAGCGCAGAGGAAAGCCAGCCTGAGTCCTTCAGCACCCCTACCCCCACGCCCAGGAGATGTCAGGGGCCTCAGGAGTCTGTAAGTGCCCGGTGCCCACACCTTGAGTGGTCTCCCCAGGCTCCAGGCTTCCCCTGACTGGTGCCCACTGTGTGGTGCCCAGGTCTGCCTGAGCCTGTGATAGCCCTTATTCAGGCGCTGGGTGGGCTGACACAGCACCATCAGCTCTCCACATGGGGCCCCTTCCCAGAGACACCCCCAGGATGCCCCTGCGCTGGCTTCCGGCTCACTGCCTGACTCAATTTCCCCCCATCCCCTGAAAACAGGCCAGGTCACTCCGAGGGTGAGGGAGCCCCACAAAGGTGAAGTTCCTAGGCGACAGACTCAGCTGCTCTTGGCTGCTGGGACTCCAGGACACGGTCCAGAGTGACCCCGGCAGAGTCGGAGATGGCCCACATTTGGCGGGTGCTTTTAAGATGCCATCATCAGGTCCTTCCCCCCAAGCGGGCTTCTTTGGATACTCACGAGGGGCTGGAGAGACAGTGCAGGGCTTAAGGCCTCGCCAGCAGCCAACCCGAGTGCGATTCCCAGCACCTCATAGAGTCCCCTGGTCTCCGCCAGGAGTGATCCCTGAGTGCAGGGATGGGACTCAGTCCTGAGGACCGCTGGGTGTGCCCCTCCCCCCCAAAAAAATAGCAGAAACTCCTAAGAGGTTTTTCTGTTTTTCTTAAATTTTTAACTCGTGAGACATAGCAGTGGTGCAGGGGGGTGGAGGGGTGTTCAGGTTCTCCCCTCCTGGTGCTCAGGCCCACTCTGAGTCGGACTCTGGCTGGTGCTTTCAGCCTAACATGGCTGCCTGTCCCGGGGTTGGATTTCAAGTGCCCTCACTGACCTCTTGATCCCGTACCCTCAGGTGCTGAGAAGCCCTCCCATCAGGCATGGAGCAAATGCCCGAGCCTGGGAGAGAAAGTGGGCTCTGGGACTGGCATTGCCCCCCGGAACCCAGACTTCCCATGCATACCCCCCGCCCCCCTGCCTTCACTCACGTTAGAGGGAGCTGCTTGGCCTGGTTCTCCCATTTGCCTCCCTTGGAATTCTCATCTCCCATTTACTTACTGACTGACCATGTTTGAGTTGCTTCACCTTCTAAGTCTCGTAATAGTATGTATTTGGTAGAATAAATACAATTAAAATCCAAAAAGTGCAAACACCAGTGTGTGTGTGTGTGTGTGTGTGTGTGTGTGTGTGTGTGTGTGTGTCTCGGGGGTGAGGGTTAACTGTCAACTCTCCTGGGTTCCAGAACAATGCTAGCCACTGCATTTTCTTGGTGGGGGGGTGACATACCAGCAGTGCTCGGGCTATTCCTGGCTCTGTGCTCAAGGATCACTTCTGGCAGGACAGGCGGCCATGCAGTGCTGGGGGCCAAACCAAGGTCATCGTCTTGCAAGGCACAGCGCCGCATCCCTTGCACCATCTTGCAGCCCTCCGGCACTTTTCCCTAAGTAGTGGTTCACCTTTTCTTCGTCAATCTGTTTCTGATATTTTGTAATTTGACAGGGTATTTTGCAGCCAGGCCGGCAAGTGCATCCCAGGGCACTTTTTTCCAGAGAGTTCTGGCCTGTATCGCAGAGAAATTAGTCATGGATGGGCATTGGAGTTGTTGAACAATCCTTGTATACAGATTCCAAAGGAATGCTCTGAACTTTACCATATTTGAAAAGTCATTTGCTTAGCTAGAGTACACTTAGAGCTCCATCCCCTCAATGCACAGTTTAAGCAGCAAAATAGTCAATATGGAATAGTGTTCTCTGCGCACGCACGCATGTGTGTGTGTGTGTGTGTAATTGTTTGTTTTACAAAAGGGTGTGTGGATTTAGTATTGTTACTAATAATATGTATGGGAATTTGACCCAGTCAGAGGAAGAATTTCATCCTATCGAATGGATAGAATGAGGAGTTTTAGCTTGTTCTCTCCAGTAATGAAATATTACATATAATAACTCATATAACAGATTTGAAAGCCTATGTAATTTGAGTTTGCTAAGAAACAAGAAAGAGCGGCTGGAGCGATAGCACAGTGGGTAGGGCGTTTGCCAGCATCCCATATGGTCCCCCGAGCATGGCCAGGAGTAATTCCTGAGTGCAGAACCAGGAGTATCCCCTGTGCATCTATGGGTGTGACCCAAAAGGCAAAAAAAAAAAAAAAAAAAAAAGAAAGCAAGAAAAACAAGAAAGAGCTGTAATTGACAATAAATGCACACGTGAAACAAACAAAAGCATACCGAGGAATTACATAAAAAAGTCAAGAGCGAACATGCTGGGTATCAAACTGGGGCGTATTTGGACTATTTGAAAGGGACAAGCTAAAACTATTAGCTTTGTTTTCTAGGTCCTTGGAATGATAATGTGGTGCAAAGTTGTGCAAGTGTACCTGTCGTAAGAACATAGATGATTTAGGTCTAAAATTGAGAATAGCCCTAGAATAATCATCAGGTCCATTTAATAATTATGGGAATATGTTGTTTTCTTTGTTTTGAATATCATTGCGATTCAAAAGTGTCTTCCTGTGCCCCCACCCCCACCCCACCCCCCACCACCAAAAAAGGAATAGTTTTGACGCTTTTTTGTTAACTAGAGTTAAATCTCACCACCCCACCAAGTGGGGTAACCCGGACGACGAGGATGGGATTTGAACCCACGCGTAGAGCTTGGGTGTTTTGTGTCACCCAGGCTCTATTTCCATTCACACAGGGAAGGAAAACTAGGAACCTTGGCAGAAATTCTTCCTCCACCCCCTCCGCTGTGCCCATCTCTGCCCACCCTCTGCCCTTCTCATTCTCTCTGCTGTTTAAGGGGGGGGGAGGGGCTGGTGCATCCCACTAGTACTCAGGGGCGATCTGTGCTCGGGGATCACTTCCGGCAGTGCCCCCGGGATCCCACCAGATTTGACTGAGCATAAGGCAGGCACCTTAACCCCCATACTCTCCCTCCTGGAACTCTTTTTGCTGTTGTTTTTTGGGGGGGCAAACCTGATGGTGCTTGGGGCTTCCTCCTGGCTCTGTTGCTCAGGGATCACTCCTGGCAATGCTATGGACCATATTGGGTGCGGGGGATTGAACCCGGATTGGCTGCATGCAAGACAGATGCCCACCCCAATGTACTATGGGCCGGGTCCCAATCTTGCCTGAAACTCTTGACCCAGAGGGTCCCTCCATTCTCCTCTTTGCCCACAACTGCCCTGGTTGGGACCACCCTGAGTCACACTGCCCATGGCCCTTTCCTCTCTCTGATTCACTTCTCCGTGTCCAGAGCGTACCTGCTAGACCCGCACAGGCCTCATGTGGTCTGTGTCCCCTCTGTGGCCAGCTCTCTGCAGCCAAGCACAAAGCTCACCCCCAGAGCAGTGAGAGTCACCAGGGAAAGTGGGTGAATGGGTGGGTGCAAGTGACCGTGTGACCGTGAAGGTCCCGTCTGCATTGTGGCTCGAATCCTGACCCCCCCCCACCCCACCCCCAGGCATCTTGGTGTACCGAGCTCACAGGATCATCGAGTCCTGTCAGGAAGCCTTCATCCTGCGCCTCTTTCGCCAGAAGAACAAACGTGGTTTCATCAAAGCCTTCACAGACAACGCAGTGGCCTTTGACACTGGCTTCTGCCACGTGGAAAGGGTGATGAGAAACCTCTTTGTCCGGAAGCTCTACCTGTGGCCCAGGTGAGCGGCATTTCTGGGAGACAGCCTGCTGGCCTTTGGTTGCCCGCTTTTTGTGGGTTTTGGGTGGGGGGTGCACAGCAGGCCGCACCCAGGGCTGACTTTTGGCTCTCTGCTTTGGGATCACTCCTGGCAGTGCCTGAGACCTGAGAGGTGAGCTGGAGAGGAAACTGAGTCTGCAGCAATTGAGACCGACTTGGAGGAGAACCCTAAAAGCCCCACTGAAGGCGCTCTGCTGTCCTCTGCCCCAGTCTCGGGCCCCTTGAGAACAGGGAGCAGTTTTGAGGAAGACAGAGGCTGTGGTGGGGAGGGCTAAGTTTCCTGCAGGCGCAATCCCCCAACCCCCCCCCAAAAAAAATCTGGGTTGGCCACATGCAAGGCAAGCTTCTTACCTTTTGTACTATCTCTCCGGGACCCCGACTTCCCGCTTTAATGACCAGTTTGATTGAATTTAACACTGGGTAGTTAGGTTCCTAGGCCGGTCAATCTGGATTGAACGAAGAAAAAACGGTCACCACACATGTGACCGTTTTTTTTTTTTAAAAAGAGCGACTTGGCAATTGTTTTTCTTCTGGTTGCTGACTGCAGCCCTCCCAGCAGCCCCTTCATTCTTGTGCATTTTATGAGCCTCCCCACCCCTCTCAACACACACACACATATACACACACCCCAGGACACGGAATGGTGTGTCAGGAACTTGAGATTGCGGCAGAGTCCAGATTTCTAGCCAAGACACCCACTCCTGTTTCGGAAATTTTACCCATCAGGGAACGAGGCACAATGGTTTTGAAAAACTTACGTAAATTTTGAGGAAAAACAGAAGGTTTTGGTTGTGAAACCGTTTACAGCCCATGCTAACATGTCATTCCACCTGTGAGCGGTGGTTATGGTCTGTCTCCTTTGCTGGTTTTACTTTCTGGGATTGAAATGCTCTTCCTATAGAAGGCTGAACAGCAAACATCCCCCGGACAAATTCGGATGGTCGCTATGATTGCAGGCAGCCACAGACAGCCCATGAGCAGCGCGTGCAGCTTTGCAAGGGACAGAAACTTGGGTTTGGCCCAGCCCTTCATTTTCTGACCTCCGCCTTATTTGAATACTTCCATTTATTGAGGTTAAAAAGCGTTCCTGAGAACAATGTCATGTCACTCTCCTCCCTTCCCCTGCACCCCTTTCCTAAATGCATTTACCACAAATAAATATGAAAGAGGATCAGACCCAGGGGCTGGAGCGATAGCACAGCAGGTAGGGCGTTTGCCTTGCACACCGCTGACCCGGGTTCGATTCCCAGCATCCCATAGGGTCCCCCGAGCACTGCCAGGAGTAACCACTGTGCATCCTGGGTGTGACCCAAAAAGAATAAAAAGGATCAGACTCAAGCGTCATAGCCCTTCAAGCTCAAGAAAATAAGACCGCTTGAAGACTGTTTGTCGCTTTAGGTTCCATGTGGCTGTGAACTCATTCTTGGAACAGCACAAACCTGAGGTGGTAGAAATCCACGTTTCTATGACGCCGGCCATGCTGGCCATCCAGACTGCCCTGCTGGACATCCTGAACGCGTGTCTCAAGGAGCTCAAGTGCCATAACCCGTCGCTCGAAGTGGAAGATTTATCCCTAGAAAATGCGATTGGGAAACCTTTTGACAAGGTGCTCCATTTCCCTTCCTTTTTAAGCACGGCCTGTTGTGTTCTCTCTTCAAAGAATGCCAGTTATTTTTCAGATTCGCTGTGTTCCTGATAGGAATTTGCTGTTGCTTCAGAATGAAGCGGGAATGATTCAAAATATAGTTTCTTTGGTTTACCGGAAAGTAGCGACTTGTTGGCCATAAAAGACGCAGGATCGCTCCCCTACCTCTGCAATGATGGAATAATAATCTCTTATTTTAGGTAGAATTGAGAGGAGTATATGTTTTTTCTCTGAAATGACAACGTTTGGATATCTCTAGGTCAAGGTTTTATAGGAATGCTTTATAATTATATGTAAATTTATTGTCTCTTTTGGAGGATAGAAAATCATTCGGGTGAGTTTTCATTACTGAGGAATGTGAAGCTTGTCTTAAAATTGCTTTCTAGGGCAAAAAAAGGTAAGACTTCCAAGGATTTTTTATTCTCATTTTTTTATCAAAGATTAATGTCAATATAGGTATGTAAATGCCTGAAATTGAATTATAGATCCAGAAAATGCTGAATGTTTAATATTCCAGGCAGCTTTGTTCTCCCCCGAATCACTCTGTCACTGAAAATAATGCATAATGATTATTTTTAAAGTCACTTTTAGGAAAAATTTGACCCTAATTTCTCAATTCTTTAAAAGTCATTTTGTTATGAAATAATAATATAGTAGACTAATATCTCAAGCGTTGTTCCTCTGCACATGTTATCATTTATTATGTGAGGATAAAAAAATTTTTTGGTTTTGTTCTGGGACCACATTTGGCAGTGCTCAGGGCTAACTCCAGACCCTGGCAGGGCTCAGGGGCCCATATGGGGTGCCAAGGCTTGAAGGGGTCAGCCATGTGCACTGCACGCGCCCTCCCCACTGTACTGTTGCTCTGCCTCCTCCTCCTTTTTTCTTTTTTAAATGTCACATTCTTTTTGATGGAAACATTTGAGGAGGTAAACTTGTACTCCGTAAACATACAATGTTAAAACCCAGCCTGGCCTCAGTAAGGACTATAGATAAATGAATACTGAGTGGGAAAGAAAATTGAACAGGAAATACTTCCCCTTCGAGAGCAAACCAGCACTTGCTTCTCGTGCTCCAGTTCTGTTTATCACCCCCGCTGGTCAGTCAGAGGCAGAAAATTGTTCGGGGCGTATTAGTACATCAAATCTCGAAAGCCCCATAACTCCCGTCTTGTTAGAAAAGAGAACTGTTGCTACGAGGTTCCACAGAAGAGGCATACCCTCCTGGGGCAGGGGTCGAGGCCTCTGCATGTCGTCACCAGTGCCCCAGCCCAGACAGGGCCCTCACTGTTGTTGATGGGTCTCCCTGTTCAGTATTCAGGTGGTGAGACAAGCTTCTGTTCTCCTCAGCTTCACACCGAGCTGGTGTGTGAAGAAAGTGCGGGAGAGTGTGTGCGTGCATGTGTGTATGTGTGCATGTGTGTGTCCACATGGGTGTAAGTGTGTGTGTTCCTGCATATGTGTGTGTGTGCGCGAGCGCACGCATTACTATAGACATGTAAATGCCCACATGGGATTTACATTCAGCCTCTCCTCTTTTCAGGATCTAAAGATTTATTTCCATGTAGTCCACTGTTAATTGAACAAACTGTTAATTAAACAAATGTTCCCGTCCATGAATCAGACTTGAATTAAAAAAAGGGCTGGAGTGATAGGACAGCGGGGAGGGCACTTGCCGTGCACGTGGCCGGTCCAGGTTCAGTCCCTGGCACCCCAGCAGGTGGGTCCCCTGAGCACCACTAGGAGTGATCATTGAGCACAGAGCCAGGAGTAAGTCCTGATCACAGGACCCTGTGGCCCCCAAGCAAGCCAGACAGAGGCATCTCTCTGTTGCCACGTCCACGGAAGAGGCTGATGTGGCGTTGTTTTCCGATTGGTATCTTGTTTCCTTGTGTCGGGCTTTGAGTCCTTGGCCGGTGGGGCCCCACATCTGCATCCATGCAAGGACAGAGATGAAAATGTGTCTGAGCCACGTGTCCTCACTTCTCCAAAAAAAAAAAAAAAAAAAGAATTGAGATGCTGGCGTTTAGCAGGGCTTTTCTCTCCCAGCAAATAATGCAGATATAGACAGTGAATTTGCTCCTGTTTGATCGGAAGGATCCAGTATTAGTGCCCTCTGCTTGACATGAGAAAATGTAAAGACTGGGGTTAGAATCTAATGAAATGAGATTTTTATTGTTTCCCTTCATTTCCTCGGGGGATAACGTTTGGGATTTCTTTCTTAGTGTTTTGTTTTTTTCTTTTGGTTTTCTTTATTATCGTGACTAAATATACACAACATAAAGCATAAAATAAACATAAAATGGGAACTATTTTGAGGGTGTTTACAGGGTAACGGTGGCCAGAGGTTTATCATTTGTATGACCAGCCTGGTTGAATGGAGCCTAGAGTTCCTGAATTCCATCCTCTTTCAGACCATCCGCCATTACTTGGACCCTTTGTGGCATCAGCTGGGAGCCAAGACCAAGTCCCTGGTTCAGGATCTGAAGATCCTACGCACCTTGCTGCTATATCTCTCTCAGTATGACTGCGTCACCTTCCTCAACCTCCTGGAGTCACTGAGGGCGACCGAGAAGGCGTTTGGCCAGAATTCAGGTAGGAGCTGAAAGCCCCGCCCTTACGGAGCAGGTGTGACAACAGCGCTGCGTTCTGCCAGAGCCCCGGGGATGGGGAACACCGGGATAGTCTCTGGATCCGGGTCCTGCTCAGAGGACAGGGATAGAGGTTTTATTTGATGCCAAGTGTTTCCTCCTCCTTGGTTTCAGTTACGTATAATGATAAATATTCATACTTGTTCCAGGGTGTTTTTTTTTTGTTTTGTTGGGGGGGTTGACTTTGGAGGGGAGGAGTGGAAGGCCAAACCCAGCAGTGCTCAGGGCTGACTCCTGGCTCTGATCAACAATCACTGCTGGCAGGCTCAGGGACCATGCTTGGTGCTGGAGATGAAACCTCGTATGCAAACCAAGTGCACTACCCACTGAGCTATCTCTCCGGCCCTCAACAGTCTCTTTGGCTTTCCTTTCCCTCCCAGGGTGGCTATTTCTTGATGCCAGCTCCTCGATGTTTGTGAATGCTCGAGCACGGGTGTACCGTATTCCAGACACCAAACTGAACAAAAAGGACAAGATACCAGAAAAAGTGGAGATGAAAGAAAAGCAAGGTATCTCGTAGGCGCCCGTCTCTCACTGCGTCTTTGGTTTAACCGTGTAGCATGCAGAAGATGACTGTATTCGTACATTTTCTTCAGCCATGCATACAATGTGTGCTTGAGTGTTCTGTGTAACATATGTGCTGTTATGTCAGGTACATGCTGTCGGGCACATCGTAGCATCTATTCTAAGTAAGCAGTGCCCAGCGCCCATCTAGAATATTCTGACTGTTCCCATGGGAACTGCAGGGTGATCATTCTGGGTTTTTTTTTTTTCTTCCCACTTGATAGTAATTTCTAGGCACTTAACATTTTAGTGGAGTGCCTTAATGTCCCTTTTAGCTTGTTAGGGAACAGAAACGTAGTAGAATGAGACAAATAAGAACTTTCTCCCCCATACCTTGTAGGTGCAGTAAATTAGTCAGATATTTTTAGGGCCTGGGATGGGGTCTGGCCGTCACAGAAGCTTCGGCCTGTGGGGAAAGGCTCTGAGTTCTGAGAGAGAAATCAGTGGCCACCTCCACAAGTTCCACGCTCAAGGTTGTGGAAACCTTGGGATCTGAGGACTGGTGGGCAGCCACCGTCCTTCTTTTCCAACCCCTTCACTTGAGGTGAGGAAGCCCTTATTGGCCCAAGTGGCCACCTTCAGGCCAGTCTTTCCGGACACCAGGGTGCCTGCCCCATGGTGGGCAGTGTGGGGACCATCCTGAGGGGCGGCAGGAGCCTCAGGCACCCGTGGGGTGGGGTGGGGTAGGGTGGGGTGGGGTGAGGACCTTTCCGTTCATTTAAAGATGAATTTCCAGGGGTACACGGAATGATTTCCCCCACTCCCAAAAGAGAGGGGGCAGTAGACTAGCTCAGTCTGGGAGCCTCTGATCTATCTGACCTAGACCGCAAGGAGACCCTTTCCAAGAAAGTGGCTTCCTCTGTGGATGGGGAAAACGCTGGTGGGGACGGCAGGGAGCTCAGTGGCCTGAGCGTCTGGAGCAGGTGTTAGCCGGGATGGCGGCTCATGCTCACCTTTCCTTCCCTTCAGAGACAAAGAGGGAGCTGGTCCTCGAGAGCAGCCCCAAGTGGGAAGCCCTGACGGAAGTGCTGAAGGAAATCGAGGCAGAGAACCAGGAGAGCGAAGCCCTGGGGGGTCCAGGTAGGGCAGCCAGCGGGTGACAGTCATTTTCCCGAGTGAGTGGTGTCATCGGAGCTTCCAGCCTGCCAGACTACTCTTGCATCGCGGAGGATAAATGTCAGGTTCTGAAATCCTCGCAGCCTTCTGGCCTTCTTCCTGTTCACAGAGGCCTGCTTACTTATACTTTCTTCCTCCCTCCCGCCCTTCATCCCTCCCTTCCTGCTTTCTTTCCTTCCTCCCTCTCCCTTCCATCCTCCCTTCCTTCCTTCTGTTCTTTCTTTCCTTTCTTTCGTTCTCCCTTCCTTCTTCCCTCCTTCTTTTCCTTCCTCCCTTCTTTTCTTCTTTCCTCCCTCCCTTCCTCCCTTTCTTACTTCCTTCTTTCCTCCATTTCATCCTTCCTTTCTTCTTCCCTCCCGCTCTCCCTTCCCTCCTCCCTCCCTCCCTTCCTTCCATCCATCCTTCCTTCTTTCCTTCTGTCCTTTTTCCTCCCTTCTCCCTCCTTTTCCTCCCTGCCCTTCAATTCTGCTTCTCCTATGTACAAGGCATGAGCTTTGCTGCTAAGCCGTGTGCCCAGCCATCCATTGGCTGGGACCTTCTCCAGGTTGAATCATTAAGTACTCACAACAGCAGGTTTGGGATTTTTTTATTCCACTGGTTGTGTTCTTAGAACTTCTATTTAGAGATGTATCTAATCCCCACATATCTGTTCTATAAACAAGACCACACCTTCTACAAGATCATTGATTTTAATGCCAGGATAGGACCAAGAAGATCAGCTGAAGAGCTCCAGATTAGGACCCATGGCCTATAAAGGAACGAATAGGGTGAGAGACTGTCTGAGTTCATCATGTCAACCAAGACCATCCATGGTAACTCACAGTTCCAGAAGGCTGAATCTTAATGTTGGACATGGGAGTCTCCCGGTGGACGGTTCTACAACAAAATAGACTACATCATATTCAATCAACGGTTTTGCCTGACCAATGTCGCTATTGTCCCAAAATTCCAAAAGGGATCGGACCACTGTCTCCTTCGTACAAAATTCTACTTCACACAGCGGGGAGAAAGGGCTGCGAAGTTTAAGAAGAGAACTCCCAGAACGACCACCAACTGGGAGCTCTTTGGCACTAATGCTGCAACATGGGAAGATGCCATTGTTGACAACATTGGTGAGGAATACAATCAACTGGTTCAGCACCTCCACGATTGTGCAAGGAACGCCAAGAGAGAGATAGCCACAAAAAAATGCCTGTCTTTAAAAACTCTTGAGCTTATTCGACAACATGGTTTGACACATGCCTCAGGCAACCACAAGCGAAGATCCGAGCTCACAAAGCAGTGCAGAGATGCGACCAAGGAAGACCTCAAAGAGAGAAGAGCAGAAGTACTGGTAGATGTGGCAGAAGCCGGGAAAAGCATTCGTAACGCCCGCCTGTCCTTCGCCAACTACAAGACCAAGATGACTGCCCTCCGACATCCTGATGGATCTAGCACATCTTCCAGAAGGGCAATGGAGAAGATTATTCAAGACTTCTACTCAGATCTCTTTGATAGCCACGTCCACCTGCCCACATACCAAATTCCACAGGATGGATATGTCGTTCCCAATGTTCTCCCTTCCAAAATCCGACACGCCATTTCATCAGTAAAGAAATGAACAGCACCCAGCCCAGACTAGGTCAGACCTGAACCCCTGAAGAACCTGCCGTTAGTACTCATCAATACGCTGGCTCAGCTCTTCACACGCTACCTGTCTGAATGCAAGGTTCCGTTCCAATGGAAAACCAGCAGGACTGTACTACTGTACAAGAAGGGAAACATCCACGACATTGGCAACTGTCACCCAATCTGCCTATCGTCTGTCATCTACAAGCTGTTCACTTGAGTCATCCTGAATAGGATTGGCAGAACACTAGTTGAAGGACAACCATGCGAGCAAGCAGGGTTCCGCAAAGGATTCAGCACCATCGACCATATCCACACGATAACCAAGCTCATTGAGGTTTCTCGGGAGTTCAAGATGCCACTCTGTCTAACGTTCATTGATTTAAAGAAGGCCTTTGATTCTGTTGAGATGGAAGCGGTCATTGAAGCCCTAGCCAATCAGGGCATTCAAGCCCAATACATCAAGATCCTCCGTGAGCTGTATTGCGGATTCATTACCAGGATCTCACCATTCTACAAAGAAGTAATCATTGATGTCAAGAGAGGGGTTCGGCAGGGTGATACCATTTCACCGAAACTCTTCAGTGCCACCCTTGAGAACGTCATGCGACGACTGGAATGGGAAGGAATGGGAGTGAAGATAGATGGTTGACAACTACACCACCTCTGCTTTGCTGATGACATTGTTCTAATTACACCAAACATTAGCCAAGCGGCACAAATGCTGGCTGACTTCGACCGTGAGTGTGGAAAGGTTGGACTACAGCTGAATCTCACGAAGACAATGTTTATGTGTTCCTGATTTCGCTCTCAACGGAATGACCATCTCCTCATGCAACAGTTATGTGTACCTAGGTCGAGAAGTCAACATGATGAATGACCTGGCACCTGAGTTGCGCAGGAGGAAGAGAGCAGCTTGGAACACCTTCAAGAGCGTCGAAGAAATAGCTAAGAGGCCGAAGAACCTCCGGCTCCGGGCACATCTCTTTGATTTCACTGTTCTTCCTGCATTAACATACGCCTCAGAGACCTGGGCCCTATGCAAACAGGATGAGAACGCTATCCTGTTTTCGTAGAGCCCAGAGAGGAATCTGGGTCTCCCAAAGAAGAATCGAAAGAGCTATGCTTGGAGTATCACGTTTCACTCAAATGAGAGAAAGAACCCGGAATTCTGACCTCCGTTGATGATCAAGAATCAGGGACACTGTTTCGTTTGCCAAGGCGTCAAAAATCAGATGGGCTGGCCACGTAATGAGATTTGGAGACGACCACTGGACTAGAGCCTTACCGACTGGATTCCACGGGACGTCAAAAGACCGTGTGGCCGCCCACCTATGAGATGGTCACACTTCTTCATCAAGATCCCGAACGATCGGTTTGAGGCTCTTTGTGTTCCATTGGGCTATACTAGCACGCTACAGGGACAAATGGAGAGGTTACTGGCGCCCGCTCGAGCAAATCGACGATTAACGGGAAGTCAAGTGATCAAGTGATCTGTTTACAGGGCCTCCGGTCTGGGTCCCAGCAGCAGATGCTGAAAAGCGTTGCATATGTCTCCCCAGCAGTGGTCGTCTGTGATCACCACAACTGCCCAGTGCCATAACCTTGCCCAGTCCCAGGAAAGGCTGCTCAGGCTGCTGCAGTCAAACATGAGCGTGCCCACCTCGGGCACAGTGGACAAGACACAAACTCGTTTTTCACGGCCAAACCAAGGCCTCAGCGATAGCACTGGGGCTCAGGTCTTGTACACAGCCTATCTGGGTTCCATCTTGGCACTGCATGATCCCCTGAGCATGACAGAAGCATGACAGAAGTGATTGTGATCTGTTAGTGCAAAGCTAGGAGAAAATCCTGAGCCAAAATCAGATATCTGTGAATTCATAAGATAAACAAAGGGGCTGGAGAAATAGCATAGCGGGTAGGGTGTTTGCCTTGCATGCAGCCAATCCGGGTTCGACTCCCAGCATCCCATATGGTCCCCTGAGCACCGCCAGCAGTAATTCCTGAGTGCGGAGCCAGGAGTAACTCCTGTGCATTGCTGGGAGTGACCCAAAAAGAAAAAAAAAGATAAAGAAAACTAGATAGAAGAAAAAGAGAATTATGGTTTGCAGTTCAGAGAGCTAGTTACAAGGAGTTGGATGCTTGCTTGCCTTGCATGCTGGCACCACATCCGGTCCCCAAGCATCTTTAGGAGTGACCCCTGAGCACAGAGCCTGGAATAGCCTCTGAGCACTGCCAGGTGTGGCCCCAAACACTCCCAACGCCACTCCCCCCACCCCCACACACCCCACCCCTGCCCAAATGATGGCTTGCATCTTCGAACTTCTCCAAAACGGCAAGCCCACAATTCTCATGTGACTGAACATGCTGGTGATGTTACTCCAGAACTTGTGGTGCTGTGATGGAGGGACCCAGAGTCAAGTAGTCTCACCTCGGAGAAAGGGTGGAGGGGAAGAGAAGAGAGAAGGGGACAGGACCACCCTGGCCACCTTGTTTTTCTTTCACGTATTTTCTGTATCACATTGCCAGAGTCACGTTATGGACCACAGTTCATAAGACAGAGCACATTGGGGCGGGCAGGGCGTTTGCATTGCACGCAGCCAACCCAGGTTCGATTCCCAGCATCCTATATGGTCCTCTGAGCACCACCAGGAGTAATTCCTGAGTGCAGAGCCAGGAGTGACCCCTGTGCATTGCTGGATATGACCCAAAAAGAAAAAAAAAGAAGAGTTTTGCATGATTTGCATGAATGTGGGCAGAGAGATGCTTCCAGCCTTCTTGGCGACTGATGGGAGCAGCGTGTTGCCTGTTTTTAGTTCTGGAGTGGGGTCCACCCCCCATTTTCTCAGACGCATTTGCTCTCCTGGTGGGCCGTCTTGGTTCTCTCTGCGGGTATAGGCTGGATTCTCAGTTTGTATCGAGTTTTTATGTATTAAGGATAGAATACTGATCATTGGTTCTTTGTCATGTGTATGTGTGTGCGTGTGTGTATCTGTGCATGTATTTATATATGTTAGGGGGTGTGTGCATTTTTGTGTGTGTGTATCTGTGTATATGGGGGAGGGTGTCTTCTCTCTGTGTGGATGTGTGTGTGTGTGTTTGTGTGTGTATCTGTATGGGGGAGAGTGTTTTCTCTGTGTGGATCTGTGTGGGGGGAGGGTATCACGTGAGTGTGTTTGTGTGTGTGTATCTGTATGGGGAGGTTGTCTCTGTGTGTGTGTGTGTGTGTGTGTTCCCCAGGAACAACCTCAGCTTGAGCCTCTGATACTCTGCCACTAAGCTGCGTCCCTGCTTCTTTTGGCTTTAGCTGTTTCACTGCAATATTCCATTTCATTTTCAAATCCTTGTCAAGTGAATCTTAGATTCTAGACGTTAGTCTTCTTTGCGATTTCTCCCCTTGCTTTTAGGCCAAGAAAACCATCTCCATCTCCATCTCCCCCCCCCCTTTTTTTTTCTCTCTTTCTCTCTGTGATTTCATAGGCAGTGTTTGACTCTGTAATCCATTTGAAATTTATTTTGGTGTATAAGATCCTCTGGGGTGGGGAGTGATTAATCAAAGGAGCTTTTCCTGCGAGCCCCCCGTGGCCCACGGCCCTCCATTCAGGAGACTTAAGTATTTCTAGCTTCAACTTTACTTTAAAAGATTTGCATGATCCTGCCTGCCAGAGGCCAGCGCTTGATGCAACCCCTAAGACCCTTTGTGAGCAAATGGGAAATGCTCTTTATGTTTCAAGGCTCGGGGGAGTGGGTGGCTCCGGGAGCATGGGGAGGGGGGAGCAAGGGCGGGGCAGCCACCTAACCCTGGTCTTTGTGCTGACTCCAGGCCAGGTGCTCATCTGCGCCAGTGACGACCGGACGTGTGCCCAACTGCGGGAGTATCTGTCCTGCGGCGCTGAGGCCTTCTTACTGAGGCTCTACCAGAAAACCTTCGAGAAGGAGAAGGACGGCCCAGCCGAGGAGGAGTGGGCGAGGTTCCGGAAGGAGGACGGCACCAGGAGAGGAGTGAAATCCGGCAAAGGACCCAGGGACCCCAAGGGCCGCGCTTTGGCCCCGGCCAAAGAGAAGACGGCGAAGAGGAAGAAGCTGACCCTTACGCAGATGGTGGCCAAGGCTGAGGAGCCGGAAGGGAAAGGGGAGGCCCCAGTGGGCCTCGCTGGAGACCCAAGCAGCAGCCCAGAAGGCTGCCTGGGAGAAGCCACGCCTGAGGACTTCACCGTAAACGTGTCGTCGGACGCTGCCTATGGCCTCCTCAGGGACCCCCTGACCATCATCCACCCACTGCTGGGGTGCAGCGACCCCTATGCCCTGACCAGGGTTCTGTACGAGCTGGAGCCAAGATACGTGGTTCTGTACGACGCCGAGCTGACCTTCGTGCGGCAGCTCGAGATTTACAGGGCAAGTAGACCTGGCCGACCTCTGAGGCAAGTGGCGGCGCCCCCTCGTTTGGCCCCCCCGCCTGGGGTCTTAGCCCGGACCCCACGCCCGCCCCCGAGGGCTCCGTCCTTCCCGATGTGTGGGGTTTGGGGATGAGTTGGGGGGGCTGGTGGCTCTTGAGGCAGCACTGAATCTGGGTGTGCAGATTCTCGTGTGCACCACTTGTATCTTACGGAAGTTTTCTGCCCAGCCCTGGGAACTTTCTACGGTCTGAATACATAGCAGTTTGTTTCCTGTCGTTATGACCCAGATAAGTCATTCCAGCCCGTTGGGGCCCAAAAGATAGTGCAGCAGGTAAGGCGCCGGCCTTACACACAGCCAACCCGGGTTCCACCCATCCCCAGTGTCCCATAGGGTCTCCCGAACATTGCCAGGTGTGATCCCAGCGCTGCAGAGCCTGGAGTCAGCCCTGAGCATCGTCGCATGTGGCCCAAAAGCTAAAAAGAAAAAAGAAATAAAAAAGAAGTAATTCCAGCCCGAGAAAATGCCCTTCTCTTAAAGAAATTCCAAGTTGCAGCTCAGGAAACTAACGCACAGGGAGAATTATCGCGCCCTGTTTTTCTCGAGAAACCATCAAATGAAAAAGATCTCTGGGAATATCAGATAGGAAAACGATGAGTCCCCGAGAATATAGTGTTCTGGCTCTTCGGCAGTCTGAGGGGAAATAAACAGCAAAATTAATATCCTGAACTCGGCATGAACCAGACCCGGAGCCAAGAGAAACCTTTTGGCATTGTCGAGCGAACGCAGGGTTGCCTGGGGGAGGGGCCCGAATAACTCAGGGTCGAGCCATCATGAATCAGAGGCTGGTGGACCTGCCGCTGTTTGCTGCCCATCAGCTTGTGAGCCGCTGGTCTGAGGCCCCGGAGTATCGGGTGACCGAATCGAGGCGTGTCAGGCGCTTTCAGGTTCCATCCAGTTGCAGAGTCCAGGGACCCAGGAGTCAAGTCCATCCTGGTTTCAGTGGGACAGAGGCCCCCGAGTGACCAGAGACCGTGACTGCCCACAGCAGCGTGCACAGGGGAGAGCTGAGGTCTCTGAACACCTTGTCTGGGCCTGAAGCATTTCCCAGCCCAGGCTTGCAGGAAATACAAACTGGGCTAGTGAAGATGGAGAGACCAATGGAGGAGGCATGGAGGGAAGCGGCCCCAGCTTAGAGGTGATGGCAGAGGGTGGAGCAGGCGGTACCTCCCGCCTTTCAGCAGCCAGAGGGGGCCGGAAAGCGGGACCCTGGGAGAGGGAACCAGCCGGTGGCGGCGGGAGGCGGGAGGCTGGCCCCACGTGGCTCCCTATGTCCCCAGAGTGATAGAAACTTTTGGTCACTGAGTTCTGTTCAGACATAAATCCAAAGGCGCAGAGAAATAATGCATGAAGACACAGGTCATGTGGCTAGATTCCTTTTGTTGGTTTTTCACAAACACGAAACTCCCATACGCTGGTCCTTCTAACCACACGCCAACACTTGAGATGACAGTTTGGCAGAGATGCAAAAGAAAAACTTGAAGAGACAGAGATAAAACCGGCCCAGGTGGCTTGTTTGCTGATTTGTTTATAGTTAGGTGGAAAACTATTATTCTGTCCCCTTAGTTACGTTTCAGCATTGGCCTTGACTCTCTTCCTCCTTTTGGCAAAAGGGGAGAAACAAATAAAACATGACACCGGTGTGGTAACGAGACCCCTGAACTGGTGGGGGTTTGGGCCCCTGCATTTCAGCTAAGCCTGTGATTAATGGAACCTTTTCTCCTTTGTCAAATATTTACTGTTGGGACTCTGGAGGCTGCCGGTTCCTCTCCAGGACTCCCCATCTCTTGCCCGGGCCTGAAGGAGTCTTGTCTTCTCTCACAGGGTCTACTTCCTTATCTACGGGGGGTCGACCGAGGAGCAACGCTACCTCACCGCCCTGCGGAAGGAGAAAGAGGCATTTGAGAAACTCATTAGGTAATAACCCATTCAGGATGCGCACATCAGAAGGCACAGAAGGGGGCTGGAGCGGTAGCACAGCAGGTAGGGCGTTTGCCTTGCATGTGGTCGACCCGGGTTTGATTCCCAGCATCCCATAGGGTCCCCCGAGCACCACCAGGAGGAATTCCTGAGCGCAGAGCCAGGAGTAACCCCTGTGCATCGCCGGGTGTGACCCAAAAAGAAAAAAAAAGACATGGGGTGTCTGGAATGACGTCAAGATTCTCTGTGAAACCCTGGCTGGTGGTCACACGCAAGTGACCTCGTTATCTGGTACTGCTAGAGTCTGTCTCCGTGGGGTCTGGAAGGAGGCTCCAGTGGGTAGGACACTTGCTTTGTGCACGGTCAACCACTGTATACCCTGGCAGGAGCGATCCCTGAGCACAGAGCTGGGAGTCAGCCCTGAGCACCACCAGGGTGTGGCCCCAAAGCAAAAACAAACAGAAGGGGGGCTGGAGTTGAACACAGCAGGTAGGGTGTTTGCCTTGCACACAACTGACCCGAGTTCGATTCCCAGCATCCCATATCGTCCCCCGAGCACCGCCAGGAGAAATTCCTGAGTGCAGAGCCAGGAGTAATCCTTCTGCATTGCTTGGAGTGACCCAAAAAGCAGAAAAACGAAAAAAGAAGGGGGGCACAGGCTCCATTGGGGCCAGGGAAGATCACAGAATCTGAGGGGAGGAAGATGAGAAGGGAGGAAGCGGGGCGTGGGTCTTGCTTCACCCCCACCACTGCCCCCGCACACCCATCAGCAGTTTCCCTGCCTCTGAGACTGTGAAGGCACAGAACAGAACCAAGCGCTCCTTTTCCTAAGAAATAGATTCTTAAAACCTCTGTCTCCCTCCTTTGCTGTGCCTCTCACCCCGCCCCCCATACCCCAGATTTCTCCTTTTCCTTTGTATTAAGCGTTTGTTTTGCTTGTAAAAATTTCCACTGTCGACCTGTTTCCTGGGGAACGTTTCTCTGCTGCAGTCACTTCAGCTCACCCTCTCCAGAGAGAACCCCTCAGACATAAGGTGTAAAGTTTGTCTGCGCATGCAGAGGGGATAGAAAGGGCAGAGGAACCCTCCAGAAGGTGCAAATTACTCAACTCTTGGTGCCCTGAATGCGTTTTCTGTCCGGAATCAGAACGCGTGTTTGAGGAATCTGCCCAGCTCCCAAGATGCCAGCCAAGAGCTGGGAGTTTGGTGAGGGGCAATGGCCCAGAGGGTCCCTGTGGGGCCTTGCAAGCGAGGGCCGGTCTTGGCAGGGACTTTGGGGTGCAGAGGCCTGGCCGGAGGGAGCCCCGACCTGGAATCAAGGATGACTTGGCTGCACTGGGCTTCCGACCGCACCACGCTTCCTTCCGGCCTCACAGGCAGCCTGCTGGGGGCTGCGAGAGGCCAGACATTCTCTTTGGTAGCCCTGGGGACGGATTTATTTTTCCGGGGAGCGTCCATCCCCCAGACCGGGCTGTGAGAACCCTATGGGCATGAAACATGTGTGCCCCACTCAGAGGCAGCATTCCCAGAAGCAGGGTGCTCAGCCCCAGGGAAGGACCATGGGACCCCGGGACAGAGGAGGCCTCTGAGGTTTTCCGTGCCGCTGGTCGTGCAGTGATTGGGCAGTCCTTTGATCCCAGAAAAATGTCTTTAAAAAAAAAACATATATATATATATATATATATATATGTATGTATTTTTTTCCTGGGTGTAGGACTGGAGGGGCATGGGATACATTGGGACCATCCTACCTGGTGGTATGCTCAAGGGACTGTGAGGTGTCAGGGATTGAATTCCAGCTTTGGGAGTTTGAAGCATGCCCCCTACCCACCCACCCTCACCCCCACACCCCCCCTCCAGCTGTCTGCCCCGCCCAGAATACATCTCAGACTCGACTGTTCCGTGGCACAGTGGCATGGTGCCCGGTGCCTTGCTGGCCATCATACTCGTCCTGACCATCTCACAGCTCTGCCCAGGGGATGGATGTTCCCTGGGAAAATCCTCCCCTGGGGCCGCCAAAGAGAATTTCTGGCCCCTCGAAGCCCTGGATAAGCTGCCTCTTGGAAGATGGTCAGAATGAGTGTGACGGCCAGCAAGGTGTTGGGCACCGTGTCCCTTAGCCTCCCACCACCCCGGGCTTGGTCCACAGACACGCACTGGGCATCTGTTGGGCCCCTGGCACTGCCAGGACTGACCAAGATGCAGGAGAAGCCCTGGCCTCCCGGGGCCCTGCTGTGAGGGGGAAGGCAAAGGCCGAGTGGCTGTGAATATCAAGTTGAGAAGCAGCGCAGGAAGGCTGTGACCCGCTGGGGTCTGGGGCCCTGAGGCCCATCTGGGGCTGGGGACAGCCTCACAGAAGTACTGTCCACTTAGGCTGGCTCCCGAGGGAAGGGGACGCAGCGGGGTGGGGTGGACTGAGACAGGGCCTCCAAGTGAGGAGCCAGTGGGGGTGGGAGACCTTTGGTGAAGGTGGGTGGTGAGAAGCGCAGGGCACGGGTGAAAGCCTCGTCAGTGCCCGCCGCTGGACCAGCATCGCGTGCCCGTCCTCCCTCGTCTGGCCTGTTTCTGTCTGGTTTGGGGGTCACACAGGAGAAACGAGACCCCCAGGGCGAGGAGCCGGCCGTGCCCAGGGGATGTCAGTGACTCAGGGACAGCAGGTGAAGAAGCCAGGCACATTCGGGGCAGAGACCGACCATCCCATCATTCCCAGATTAGAGTCTGGAACATCCTCTCCCTGGCCCCGCATACCTCGGTGAGCGCCTGCCTTCCTCTGAACCAGCATCTCCCGGGCCCAGGGCCATTGGCCGAGACTGGGACTCAGCCGGTTCTGACTTTCCCAGAGACCTGGGGGAGTGTGAGATTGTTTGTTTTGAAAAGCAGCACAGATACGAGCTGTGCCGAGGGCACTGCCCGGTGTGGGAGCCAGAGAGCTTGCAACTGCCCATTGAGCAACCTTCAGAACAAACACAGCGCATCACTTTCCAGATCACCAGAGAGGAACAGCTCGGGCAGACTGGTAGCCCGAGGGTCGTTTTGCTACTCGGGATCAGTGGATGACGTGTGGGCAAGCGAAGGGAAGGGCAAGAGAAGGAAGAGGCTGGTGCTGGCAAATAGCGCTAAGAAAATCCTCCCGGGGTAGAAAAAGAAAACATCAGCCGTAATCTCTCCGGGCTGGCGGGGTTCTGCAGAGGTAGCTGCCTGTCAAAGGAGAGGTTTGGGTTGACTGGAATTTTGCAGTTAGAAAATGTGATCCCCCCATGAAGCAGGAAACATCCCGGTCTCGCTTCTTCACCATGTCATCCAAGCTAGGCCCTGTCACCAGAGACGCTCCAAGCAAAGTGGAACAAATAGGTGCGCGACTTTCTTGTTTGGTTTTGTTGGAGGGGCAGGTGGGCTCACCCAGCAACAGTCAGGGCTCCTTGATCTGCACTCAGGGATCCCTCCTGGTGGGGCTTGTGGGTCCCAGTGGGGTGTCCCGAGATCTAACTGCGTGCAAGGCAAGCGCCCTGCCCTCTGCATCATCTTTCCAGGCCAAACTGCACTGCTTTAGATGGAAATAGGAATGGAAACACTAAATTTTCCCATCTTTTTTCTGTGTCGCTCATGTGGGGTAACTTTTTTTTTTCTTTTTGGGTCACACCCGGCGATGCTCAGGGGTTACTCCTGGCTCATGCACTCAGGAATTACGCCTGGCGGTGCTCCGTGGACCATATGGGATGCCGGGGATTGAACCTGGGTTGGCCGCATGCAAGGCACAGCCCTACCCGCTGTGCTAACGCTCCAGCCCCATGTGGGGTAACTTTTGGGCATTGACCCGGGACTCAGGGCCCCTCACATGCGAGACACGTGCTCAGCCGCTCTGGCTCCTGCCGCCCCCACCCCCAGCTCCCCAGGATTAACCCAAGTAATGATGCTGAAAGCCAGGGGCTGAGGGTCATTAAGGACCATCCTGGTTAATCACGCTCAGTGGCTCTGAAAGCCCAACCCTGCTCTCCACAGCTCAGGCTTCATTTTAGGAGTCTCTTTGTATCCCCCCCCCTGTCAGACTTTGTAGTCATAATGTGTTTGTGGTCAAGGAGGAGTTTTATATAACTGCTAATTGAAACAGTTGTAGAATGGTCTGAGGCTACATCTTCTAGGGCTGCATCTGTTTAGAGCTTAATCGTGGATAGTGAGGGAGTGAATCACCCTTCCTGGGGGAAGAGTCTCGTGATAGCGGCAGCTCACGTGCACCCACCCGGAGCTGATTCTGTGCCCAGCACCGTGCTAGCATGCGCCTTGGGTCTATTACATCCTCATCCTTGGAAGTGGGGACATCACGATCTCCCATATTACATCATCATCCTTGGAGGTGAGGGCATTACAGTCTCCTACCTGCAGTGGAGCGGTAGAAGCCAGGTGTGCCGGTTCATCTTCCTGCCACAAAACCAGGTGCTGGGTTTGGACCTTACTGTTCCGTGACTCGTTGGCAGAGCCCGGGGTGCCCCGGAGGCCCAGATCCTGGTGGCCCAGCTGGCTGTTTTGACACCAATGATCTCTCTCTCCGTGCTTGTCCCTCCTGACTGTACCTCTCATTCATGATTAGTCAGTCCCAGGTAGGGGCTCACTGGGCTTGCCCGAAGCCAGGGACAGCTATGTGCATGCACCTGGAGACACCACTCCAGGTGACCCGAATCCGAGCATCCCCCTGACCGTGCTCCGGCAGAAGAACAAATCCCCCAGGGCTGGGGAACTGACTTGGCAGTTCAGGCCCTGCCTTGGGCCCCGGAGCCTGTCCACGGCACCAGGAAAAGTGGGGGATCCTGGCAGGTATAGTACAGCAGTCAGGGTGCGTGACCCAAGTTTGAGTCCTGGTTCCACTGCTATCCCTGGAGTATCACCAGATGCGGTCCAGAGGCCCCCTGTATGCCCCACCCTGACCTCCCCCCACACAGGCTTGAGCACCGTCCCCTCAGGGAGCACCCAAAGAGGGGGAGGGGTGAGGATTTGAGAGGGAACCCTGAGGCAGTGGAGGAGGGAAGTGGACACTGGTGCAGGGGGAGGTGCTGGGGGGGGTGTTGGAATGTAGTATGCAGGGAACCCTCCCGTTGACCTCATAAATTACAGTGATCCAAAATAATTTTTTTAAAGTTTTTTGAGGAGTCATTCTCAGTCACTTAATCACTTAACTTTCCGTTAGTCGTCAATTTGCTCGAGCAGGCGCCAGTAACGTCTCCATTTGTCCCTGTCGCGTGCTAGTGTAGCCCAATGGCGTCTGTTTGCTCCAGGAACATGAAGAGCCTCAAACCGATCGTTCATGATCTTCACGAAGAAGTCTGACCATCTGGTAGGTGGGCGGCCACGCGGTCTTTTGACATCCCGTGGAATCCAGTCGGTAACAGCTCTAGTCCAGCGGTCATCTTTAAATCTCATTACGTGACCAGCCCATCTGATTTTTGACACCTCGGCAAACGAGACAGAGTCCCTGATTCTTGATCGTCGACAGATGTCAGAACTCCGGATTCTTTCTCTCATTTGAGTGAAACGTGATATTCCAAGCATAGCTCTTTCAATTCTTTGGGAGACCTGAATAGCGTTCTCATCTTGTTTGCGTAGGGCCCAGGTCTCTGAGGTATATGTTAATGCAAGAAGAACAGTGGAATCAAAGAGATGTGCCCAGAGCCGGAGGTTCTTCGTCCTCTTGGCTATTTTTTCGATGTTCTTGAAGGCGTTCCAAGCCGCTCTCTTCCTCCTACGCAGCTCGGGTGCCAGGTCATTTGTCATGTTGACTTCTCGACCTAGGTACACATAGCTGTTGCATTCGGAGATGGTCGTTCCGTTGAGAGCGAATGGGGCATCAGGGATGAGGCTGTTTCTCATAAACATTGTCTTCGTAAGATTCAGCTGTAGTCCAACCTTTCCACACTCACGGTCAAAGTCGGCCAGCATTTGTGCCACTTGGCTGATGTTTGGTGTTATTAAAACAATGTCATCAGCAAAGCAGAGGTGGTGTAGTTGCCAACCATCTATCTTCACTCCCATTCCTTCCCATTCCAGTCGTCGCATGACATTCTCAAGGGTGGCACTGAAGAGTTTCGGTGAAATGGTATTACCCTGCCGAACCCCTCTCTTGACATCAATGATTACTTCTTTGTAGAATGGTGAGATCCTGGTAATGAATCCGCAATACAGCTCACGGAGGATCTTGATGTATTGGGCTTGAATGCCCTGATTGGCTAGGGCTTCAATGACCGCTTCCATCTCAACAGAATCAAAGGCCTTCTTTAAATCAATGAACGTTAGACAGAGCGGCATCTTGAACTCCGGAGAAACCTCAATGAGCTTGGTTATCGTGTGGATGTGGTCGATGGTGCTGAATCCTTTGCGGAACCTGGCTTGCTCGCATGGTTGTCCTTCATCTAGTGTTCTGCCAATCCTATTTAGGATGACTGGAGTGAACAACTTGTAGATGACAGACAATAGGCAGATCGGGCGATAGTTGCCAATGTCATGGATGTCTCCCTTCTTGAACAGTAGTACGGTCCTGCAGGTTTCCCACTGGGACGGAACCTTGCATTCAGACAGGTAGCGAGTGAAGAGCCGAGCCGAGCCATTCTCAGTAAAAAAGAATTACTTCCCTACATTCACCTTGACTTTTCCTTTAAAGATGAGAGGGGCTTAAAGGAGCTTAACATCAAGAGCTCTGTGTGTGTATGTGTGTCTGTCTGTCTGTCTGTGTGTGTGTGCGCGCGCGCGTGCATGTGTGTGATGCGTGTATGCGCGTGTGTGCGCACATGTGTGTGAGCGCGTGTGTGTTGATCTGTTTGGTTTGGGGCGCACCTGGCAGTGCTCAGGGGATCATCCTCATCTGCTGGGCATCAGACCCAGACCCCTGCCACCTTCTGCATTTTCTTGTCCTCGGTTCTGAGCCAGCCCAACCCAGGATGGCATTTCGGGGAACATAGATGGTTTCCAAAGGCCTGGGAGTCCGCACATCTCACCAGATGCCCTGATCATCCCCCTCCAGTTCCCCCATCCGTGTGCAGATCCAGGGGACAGATCCAGGGTCAGAGGGTGACACTGTCTCTGCCCCCGCCCCCCGCGGCTCTGCCCCTCTGCCCCCCTCCTCCGTGCACTCACGCCGCTGGCTTCCCACCCTGCGTTCTCAGAAGCAAGGAGTTTGAAACGAGTCTGGCAGACGTGTCAACCTGTTTGTCCACCCCAGGGAGAAGGCCAGCATGGTCATCCCTGAGGAACGAGAAGGCCGCGACGAGACAAACCTGGATCTGGCCAGAGGCTCCACATCCAGCAATGTCACCCCCGACACGCGTAAAGCGGGTGAGTGGCGCCGCGGTGACTCCAAGGCCCATGGTGTGGGGCCGATTTCCAGGGGGGCACCCAGTTTGGGGATTTCTGTTGTTTTTCTGAAAAGGGAGCAGTCAGCCACTTAAGGCTGGGACTGTTCCCTTACCACGACTGCGGTCACAAAGGGCCACAGACTGGTGACTGAAACACGAGTTTCTCAGTTGCTCAGGAGCAGTGCCCGGCCCGGGAGGGCTTCACCTGGCCATGGCCGGCCAGAGTGGCAGTGGGAGTGGCCCTGCTGGAGGCTCTAGCAGAAGGGGGGACCCTTACTTCCCAGTGCCCAGCTTTAAGAAGCCACCTCACGCCTGGGCCTGTGGCCCCTTCCTCCTCCTCTCCCCCTCCTCCTCCTCCACCCCCTCTTCTTCCTCCTTTCCCTCTTCCTCCTCTCCCTCCTTCTCTTCCTCCCCCTCCCTCACTGTTCCTTCTGACCTTCCTGTCTCTCCCCTTGATGTCTCACTCCCAGCTCCTGCCTCCAGGACTCAGGAGCCAGAGCGAATGCCCTGGACCTGAACTCCTTGGGTCGGTGGCATCGGTCCCCAGGGTGCCAAGCCAGCGCAGCCTACTTCCCACCGCCCCCAGGCAGCTCCGGGTGCCCTGCCGCTGTGCTCACACTCTCCTCCCAGGCCTCAGTTCCCTGGCACCTTCAGTTCCCCGGCTCTAGATACAGTCGGCAGTGCCTCCAAAATCACCCAAATCTTTCAGCAGGTGGTTTTTGTTTTGGGTTTTGGTTTTATTAAGTGTCTGTTTCATGGCAGGTTCTAGGAATTAAGGATGTGCTGGTCAGGTGAGATGGTGACAGAGATGCCACCACGGGAGAAAGGGTGGCACCTGGTAGTGGGTGCCAACTCAGGAGAATTACCTCCAGGGCCTCATTTTCTCCCTGAATTCCATTCAGCTTCAGGGAGAGTGCCCCGCTCTGCTGGGTGAATAGATCTTGGGAGAAGGCGGGGAAATGGGGTACGTTTGGATGTGGGAAAGTGAAGTCCTGATTTGCAGCCTCTCGCACCCCACTTGCTCCCCCACCAGCCCCGCCAGGCGTGATCCAGGAGTGCAGAGCCAGGAGCACCGCTGGAGGTGGCCCCCAAACTAGGGGAATAAAAGAAAAAAGGGATTTCCATTTCACTTCCCTGGGTCCCCTGCAGGCGCATGGGCGCGCAGGCGTATGCACGCGTGCGCTTGCGTCTGTGCGTCCTTCCTCCCCCGGGAGGCAGCGACTGACCTGCTCGGGACCCTTGTCCAGGTGGCCAGGACCAGGGTGGCCCCACGCAGAGCATCGTGGTGGACCTGCGCGAGTTCCGCAGCGAGCTGCCTGCACTCATCCACCGGCGGGGCATCGACGTGGAGCCCGTGACGCTGGAGGTGGGCGACTACATCCTGAGCCCGGACATGTGCGTGGAGCGCAAGACCCTCAGCGACCTCATCGGCTCCCTGAACAACGGGCGCCTGTACGGTCAGTGCGTGTCCATGGGCCGCTACTACCCGCGGCCCCTGCTGCTCATCGAGTTCAACCCCGGCCGGTCCCTGGCGCTGGGGGTGCGCGGCGCACCGCAGCCCGAGCTGTCCGGCGCCGACGTCACGGCCAAGCTGGCCCTGCTGACCCTGCACTTCCCCCGCCTGCGCCTGCTCTGGTGCCAGTCCCCGCACGCGGCCGCTGAGCTCTTCGAGGAGCTCAAGCGCCACAAGCCGCAGCCCGACGCCGCTGCTGCCGCCGCCGTCACTGCTGACTCGGACACTCTGCCCGAGTCCGACCGCTACAACCCGGGCCCCCAGGACTTCCTGCTGCGCATGCCCGGGGTCAGCGCCAAGAACTGCCGCGCACTCATGAGTCGCGTGCGCAGCATCGCCGAGCTGGCGGGCCTGTCGCAGGCGCAGCTGGCCGACGTGCTGGGCAACGCAGCCAGTGCCCGGCAGCTGCACGACTTCATCCACACGCCCTACACCGCGGCCGCCCCCGGCCCCGCCCTGGCCAAGGGCAAAGGGAAGAAGTGACGCACCCCACACCCCCGCTGACCGGCCTGCTGGTGTGCGTTGGAGTGGCCAGGAACCTGGTTGCAACGTTGGAGTGACCAGGACCCTAACGTTTAACACTGGAGTGACCGGGACCCTAACCTTTAACGCTTGGGTGCAGTCTGGTCTGATGTTTGAGTGACCGGGAGCCTAGTGTAACGTTTGAGTGACCAGAGACCTGTCGACCGTTCGGGTGGCCGGGAGCTCGGCCCAACAGTCCCGTACCCTGTACCTGAACAGAGTCCTGGGTCCCCGGGCAGGCCGAGGGCGCTCCAAGGGCTCTGCGCAGACTCTGCTTGGGCCTCCTTCCCGTGCTGCCCTGCCCCTCCCCCCAGGTGCCGGAGGATCAGGCAGGCTTTCCAAGCTGTGTTTTCTCACAAGGCCGGTGTTTGAGTCCGCTGAAATCTGTGTTCCCTGCATAGCTGATCCACTCACACAAACAACCAGGGGGTCTCACCCTCTGTCCACAGATGGAACCCCCACCCCACCCCAGCTCTCAGCAGGAAATCTCTCACTCTCCGCTTCACCCCTTCTCTCCCCCCCCCCCCAGGTTTTTCTTCAGCCACACACCCCTTCTTCTGGTCTGCTTCTGAAGGAGGATTCACAGGGACGTCCTTGCTTCCTTCCCAAGGCAGCACAGTCAGAACTGACCATTCGCTTTCCTCAGCACCCGAGCCCAGCACGGCCTGCTCGTTGATTAGCCAAGCCCTCGCTTTTATTTTATGTGTGTTGTTTTGTTTTTTTTTTCCAGTTGTGCCAGGAGCCCAACCCAAGGGCCTCACATACCCAAGGGGTACACACTTTGTTCTCTCTCAACTTCCCCAGCCCCCATTCTATTCTTTTCTTTCTTTCTTTCTTTCTTTCTTTCTTTTTTCTTTTTGGCTCACACTCGGCAATGCTCAGGGGTTGCTCCTGGCTCCGCACTCAGGAATGACTCCTGGCGGTGGTCAAGGGACCCTATGGGATACTGGGAATCGAACCCGGGTCAGCCACATGCAGAGCGAACGTCCTGTCCACTGTGCTATAGCTCCAGCCCCCAGCTCCCATTCTTAAGAAGAAAATGAATTGTTCTTCAGTGGCTCGAGCTGCCAGTGTCAAGAAAGCGGATCAAGCAGCTTCCCTGGGGGCACCCGGCGCCCATATGGCAGATCTCACACCTCGAACACCATCGTTCTCTCCTCTCCTCCTTCCTCTGCCATCCTTCCCATCTCTGAGGTGTCACTGACTCATCAGCAGGTGGCGAGGGGGTTTCCCCTCCCCACGTTGAAGTAAGAGGGATTGTGATTGCGAGTGAATGCACCATCAGCGCGTAAGGGCGCATTGACTTTCCAAAGAAATGCATAAGACAGCGGGTAGGTGTTGCCCTGCATGCAGCTCACCCAGGTCCAGCACAATATAAGCTCCCCTGAGCACTGCCAGAAGTGAGGCCTGAGCACCGCTGTTGTGTGCCACCCCAAAAATATATAGAGATAACATTTAACATAAGTATGATGAATGGTAAGAAATGTGTAGTGAGAGATGTGGGAATCCCTTGTGAAACCAGCATCTTCCTCATCCTTGTCTGTCTGGTTTTGCCTTTTATCCTGCGGACACATACCAAGTGCTCATAGTATCTTCCTGCTGTTCTTATGGGTTGGGTTTGGGTTTGATTTGGTGGGGGGCGCTGCTGGCCCACACCCTGGCTCTGTGCTCAGAAGGCAGTCCTGGCGGTGCTTGGGGAACCATGCAGGATGCTGAGGTACAGCCCAGGTTGGCCGCGTGCAGGACAAGTGCCCTGCCGCTGTACACTCTCTTCGGCCGCCTCCTGCCGTTTTAAGCCTCACTTGCCCACACGCATCGGACGGAGGCAGAGAGCACACGCATGCCCATCTTCCTTCCCGAGAGAGCAGACACGGCCGTCTCCGGTGCCAGCCCCTTACAGGACATCCCCCAGGTTGGCCGGTTTACTTCGAGCTCTGACCTACCACCAGACGGTCTCTGGTCTTCCCAGAGGAGCATGCGATGGGCCCAGCCCAGGCTTACTGCCCCACAGTCTGTGGTTTGGAAGGTAGCTGGGGTCGGGGGTGGGGGGGTAGAGTGAGGGGGAATGCACCATGTGAGTGCACTGAGGGGGTCCCAGATCGGGGCCTGGACTGGGGTGGCCCAGAACATAATCAGCAGGTGAGAGGAGACAAACCAGAATTTAAAGCAGCCGAGAGATCTATTTATTTATCTATTTATCCTGGTCCCAGGGTTGAAATTAGACCTTCTAGAATAGAAACCCAAAAGTGACCGGTGGGCACCCATGGTGACTTGCACCCCCCGCCGTTACTCCTTTCAGAGTTCATTCTTGGTGCCGTACTTTAAAATAGACTCGCATCACCTCCAAGGTTCTGGCCCTCAGCTTCCCTGTCCCTCAGGGCCCTCCTGCACGTCATCTCCCTCCTCCTCCTCCATCTCTATGTGGTGCATCATCTTCCTCCTCCTCTTCCTCTTCCTCCTCCATGTGGCACATCATCTCCTCCTCCTCCTGCTCATGTAATTCCGCCTCCTCTTCCTCTCCGGTTGCCAGGGAAAATCCCCAGGGCCCCGCGCAACAGCACTGCCCACAGGGCACCGGTCCTGCATGTGGCTGACCCAGCTTCAGTCAGTCCCCAGTCCCCCATATGTGATCCCTTGAGCACAGAGCCAGGAGTTGGGGGTGGCCTCCAAACACCCACCCCAAACGTGAAATAAATGAAATAAGAGGGAAATCCCCAGCATAGTATCTTGTCAGATACAGGTTTCAGTCCAAGTTCCCAAGTTTTCCTGAAATGAGCGTTTCTGGCAGGTGCCGCAGAAGGCGGCCCTTGACGTGTGCCATGCCAAAGCTGACCCGTCGTGTGGTCTTGGGGAGTCAGGCCCTTGTGCGTCAATTTGCTTTGCCCCTTCCCAGCCTGGTGGCTTTTGAGCAGTCATTTGTAATGAAACTCGAAACTGGTCACTGGCGGTGCAAGATTCACTCGGCCCCTCCTTGCAGCTATATACATAGATTTTAATATGTCTCCAGTGGTGGTGGAGGTCTTTTCAATATATTATTCATCAAAACAGGTTTTGTTTAAACAGATTTTTATCACCCAAGAATCCCTGATCCAGAATTAGTTGTGAAGTCAATGCCTCATTTTCTTTTCTAGCATCTACACAGGTCAGTCTTTTTCTTTCAAAATAGTGAAATATCCCTTTAACTTCTGGACTCAGCACTGAGTGATAGTAGGGCTCTTTTTATTTCAAAAAGGAAGCGTCCACCATTAACTCTCTTTTGCTTGTGTTTTGCAGGGGTAAGGAAAAGAAATATTTTTTTTTGAGTTGAGAGTCTTAAATCCATTTTGTTTGCTTCACTGCTAGTCTCCGTGCATTTGTTTTTTAAATGACACCAGAAGGAATCATTCTTCAGGGCAGCCATAAATAATGATGCTTTTGGAAATGCGTTACTGTTTCCATGCCCGGGGCTGCAGCCGGCTGGAGGTCAAGGTCTGTTTGGGCAGCCCTGTGGTCCAGTTTCCCAGCCCGCAGCGGAGCTGGGATCAGAGGGTGACATTTCTCTCTCTCCCTCCTGGGACCGAGAGGGTTAAGTCCAGACTTGTGACTGAAAACTGTGTAGAATGATGAGTGTCCTCCTGGGCAGGAAAACCTGTTCCCAGAAACCATCCTGGAGGTTGGGGGGAAGCATCTTTGGCTTTTGTTTTGCAAGCATAATTTGATTTTTGCCTTGGCTCAGAAAACTTCTGTTGGGAAATTCTCCTTTTTGTGCTTGACTTCACTCAGAAATGTCCCCTTAGAAAACACCAGTTATGAGAAGTCTTTTCCTGGTCTTGAGAGTGTATTGAGATGTCTCTGGGCTTTGACAGGAGTGATCACTTTCCCCTGTTTCTCTCTGCTGCTGCTTCTGCTACTTCCTGCTGGGCCTGAGCTTCAGGCCCCCGTTGACCATCTTCATCAACTGGCAACCTATGCCTCCAGCCCTTTGGCTTTTTTAATATTTGGTGTTTTTATTGGAAGTCCAGTTCTGTATAGGGGGAGAGATGTTGCCGATTTCTATCAATTTGTAGCCGTGGTGTTTGTGTTTTTAATGAAATGTGTATTTATTCACTTTTCACATTGCTTTTTGTGGACAAGACACAAAACAAAAACAAATGAAAAAGACAGTCGCAAGTGAAAGGGCTTCTTTTGTCGGTGTATTTATGTCCTCGACAGAATTGAAAATTCAGAGACTATTTATTTTCTATTTGGTGACAATAATAAACGATGAAAACTGACCTGCCTGGCTGCGTCTCTGGGCCTCCTGTGGGCTGGAACCTGCTTTGCAAGGCATCATGAAGGGTTCCCCTTAATGCTCCTTTTCACTCTAGAGCTGCCTACTGCTTGAGGGGAAGGGAAGGGAAGGGAAGGGGAGGGGAGGGAAGGGAAGCTGTGACCCCTGCAGGGAGTCCCAGCCTGGTCCTGGGGAGCTTCCTGCATCAGCATCAGTGCAGACAGAAACCATCCTGCCTTGGAGGCACATCTAGGTGTGTGTGTGTGTGTGTGTGTGTGTGTGTGTGTGTGTGTGTGTGTGGCGGGGGGAAGAGGAGGGAGAGAGAGATATCTCTTCCATAGATTTGTTTGCCAACTAACTCCTTTTGATGACTCAGTGATATTTACATCTGGTGTAGACCAAATTCCCCATGTTTGTAATAAGGCAGGTTTTACCTGTGAAGCCTGCATCAGACAGGAAACTGGTAGAACCACACTGATGTAGGCAGGTAGATTAGGGAATCTCTCCCACCTCTTTGCCCCTCCTTAGCGAAACAAAGGTCAGGAAAAAGTTTTTAAAGACCATCCCAACTCTACCCTCCTTGGCAACCACCCTAGCAACAAACTGTTAGGGAGAAGCCCCATATGGGGCAGGTTAGGAAAAACCTGTAGAAGGGCTGGAAGGATAGCACAGCAGGGAGGGTGTTTGCCTTGCACGGGACCAACCAGGGTTCGATTCCCAGC